CACATTCACGCAATCCACTCCTCCGCCACCATCAACAACTGTGTCGACGACCCGGAAGAGGTTTTTGGATCCGGGTTTGGACTCAAAGATCCAGTTTCAGCTCCATCACGCCTTTGGGGATTCTGATTTCTTACCGGCTGGTACCTTCAGTGCCCGCTTAAAGACGTGGAATCACGGTGGTAAAAAATTTAAGCTGGAAACCGATTACAAAAGCATCTGTGGTGAACACAACACCAACTGCACTTAGGTTTTTGGCTGTTTCTAAGGATTTATTGATGGTGGAGTTTCCTGGCACAAATCGAATTAAGTAGCTACAGATCAAGAAGTTTCCCTGGATCAAATCCTGATTAAAGTTGCTCACCGGCAAGGACTTTAGCAGCAAAACTTTGATCAAGCAAGACTTCAAAACATCGATATTGAGATCTAAAAGCTGTGGACTTTTCTTTGGCCAATGTGACAAAGTGCAGAGACAGAGAGAGAGACGCAATGGAAAGAAAAAGGAAAAGAGAAAAAGAAAAAGAAAAAGAAAAATAAGGAGTGAGAATGGATGGGCACGACCAGGCTGTCCAAGAAAAGCAAGTGGTTTGTAAGAAAAAGATACCTTACAAAGCAACATGGGTGGATCGAGAAGGAGCAGGGAGATCAAGAAAAGTAGAAAGAAAAGTAGAAAGCAAAAGAAAATAAAAAGAAGCAGACATAATTACGGTGGTGATGGCATGCAGAAAAGAGAATTATGGGCGTGACCCATTGAGCAGAGGGTCGGATTTATTTTTTAATGATATAATTTATTTTTCTTATCTTTCGGAAACATCTGTAAAAACCCCATCAAAGGGTAATCACAAAAAAAAAAAAAAAAAAAAAAACAAAAGAAACCGGCAAGCCCAAAATAATAAGGCCCATATGCCTAAAAGAGCCATGCCCTCTATTATCACCAACCAGGTGATCAAAAGTATGTCTAGTACTCCAAATTTATTCGGCACCCTTCCGCTATTATCACCAACCAGGTGATCAAACGTACGCCTAGTACTCCAAATTTATTCGGCACCCTACCACTATTATCACCAACCAGGTGATCAAAAGTACGCCCACTACTCCACAAAATTTATTCGGCACCCTGCCGCTATTATCACCTACCAGGTGATCAAAAGTACGCCCAATACTCAAAAAATTATACATGAGCATCACTCATGTCAATCATACATAAACATTCATGAGTATCACTCATGTCAATCATACATAAACATTCATGAACATCATTCATGTCAACATTCATGAGCATCACTCATGTCAACATTCATGAGCATCACTCATATAAACATTTATGAGCATCACTCATGTCAATCAACTTCAAAAGCTTCATTTACAGAGCTCCAGTTTCAAAAGCTTCATTTACAAAAGCTCCAGCTTCAAAGCTTCACTTGCAAAGCTTCACCTACAAAGCTTCAGTGCAGGGTATACAAATACCGCCTCCGAACAACAGCCACTTCGGCCCATACATGGATTAAAGTTGAAGTCTCCAGCCAACAACCTCTATTGATTGAAGATTTAGGGGACTACATTATGTACCATATATTGGGCCTCAACTGAGCCTCATAAAAAATACTTGGGGGACTTAGCCTATCCCTTATGTATTGAAAAGCGATCCCTTATTCTATAAAAGGGACTCCCTCACTTTAATTAGAGAGCACCCATTATTCATGTACGGAGGAGCGACCCCATATTCTATAAAAGGGACTCCCTCACCTTCATTAGAGAGCATCACTGCCAGCTGAGTAACTGCCTCGCCGCGAACATCAACTCTAACCCATCACTTATGTATTAAGGAGCGAACCCTTATTCTATAAAAGGGACTTCCCCACCATCATTAGAGAGCATCGCTGCCTGCTAAGAAACCGCCTTGTCGCGAGTATCGACTCTAGCCCATCACTTATATATTGAGGAGCGAGCCCTTATTCTATAAAAAGGACTCCCTTACCTTCAACGCCACAAGCCGAGCCAACTAAGGCAACATAAGCCACAAACTGAGCAGCCTCGCAACATGTGCTACTTTTGGTTAAGGATCATTTCAAATTGGGCATCCCCTCATATTGAGTATCAGTTCTAGACGACATCTAGTTACTTCGGCCGACACATGGACTAAATTTCAAGTATCTAGCCAAATGACTCACTTGAGGTTTGTGAGGGTGAGGAGGCATTTTTATAGAATAAGGGCTCTTCACTTATTACATATTTGCCCCTCAATTCATTACATAATTACATTTGAGTCCCTCGAGTATTTATACGAGGTCTAAATACGGAGGCCCTAAATATGGTACAAACAGTAGTCCCCCAAGTCTTCAATTAAGAGAGTATTTTGGCTGGAGACTTGAAATTCAGTCCATGTGTGGGCCGAAGTAACTAGATGTCGTCTAAAACTGATACTCGATATGAGGCGGTGCCCAATCTGAAATGATGCTCAACCAGAAGTAACATATGTTGCGAGGCTGCCCGGTTTGTGGCTTATGTTGCCTTGGTTGGCTTGGCTTGTGGCATTGAAGGTGAGGGAGTCCCTTTTATAGAATAAGGGCTCGCTCCTCAATACATGAATGATGGGCTAGAGTTAATGCTCACGGCGAGGCGGTCACTCAGCAGGTGGCGATGCTCTCTAATGATGGTGAGAGAGTCCCTTTTATATAATAAGGACTTGCTCCTCAATACATAAGTGATGGGCTAAGCGTCTCTCTCTAATAAAGATGAGGGAGTCCCTTTTATAAAATAAGGGTTCGCTTCTCAATATGTGAATAATGTGCGCTCTCTTAATGAAAGTGAGGGAGTCCCTTTTATAGAATAAGGGCTCGCTCTTCAATACATAAGTGATGGGCTAAGTCCCCTAAGTATTTTTTATGAGGCCCAGTTGAGGCCCAATATATGGTACATAATGTAGTCCCCCAAGTCTTCAGTCAATAGAGGCTATTGGCTGGAGACTTCAAATTTAATCCATGTATGGGCTGAAGTGGCGGTTGTTTGGATGTGGTATTTGTATACCCTGCACTGAAGCTTTGTAGGTGAAGCTTTACAAGTGAAGCTTTGAAGCTGGAGCTTTTGTAAATGAAGCTTTTGAAGCTGTAGCTCTGTAAATGAAGCTTTCGAAGCTGATTGACATGAGTGATGCTCATGAATGTTTATATGAGTGATGCGCATGAATGTTGACATGAGTGATGCTCGTGAATGTTGACATGAGTGATGCTCATGAATGTTGACATGAGTGATGCTCATGAATGTTGACATGAATGATGTTCATGAATGTTTATGTATGATTGACATGAGTGATGCTCATGAATGTTTATGTATGATTGACATGAGTGATGCTCATGTATAATTTTTTGAGTACTGCGCATACTTTTGATCACCTGGTTGGTGATAATAGCGGCAGGGTGCCGAATAAATTTTGTGGAGTACTGGCCGTACTTTTGATCACCTGGTTGGTGATAATAGCGGCAGGGTGCCGAATAAATTTGGAGTACTGAGCGTACTTTTGATCACCTGGTAGGTGATAATTGCAGTAGGGTGCCAAATAAATTTGAAGTGTTGGACGTACTTTTGATCACCTGGTTGGTGATAATAGAGGGCCAGGCTCTTTTGGGCATATGGGCCTTCGCTTTCTACATAACATTCCAGCCCATTATTTTAGGCTTGCCGTTTTTTTTTATTTTTTTTATTGTGATTACCCTCTGATGGGGTTTCCGAAAGGTAAGAAAAATAAATTACATCATTCAAAAATAAGAAAAGTAAATCACATCATTCTGGTAGGGTGTTTATTCCTTGCTTTGGCAGTATGGGTGTTTATTATTTGCTTTTGCATGTGGGTGGTCGATGGCACGCCCTCTTCTATGAGATCCAGAACACATTTCTGTGTTTGCCCCACCATCAAACATTACTTTTACTTTCTTCTTTTATTCCTGTCACTAATCCTTTCTACGCATTTCTTCCCCTTTTCTTTTTCTGAAATATTCTCTCAACAACTAGTATTGCCCATGTTTAGCCCATCCTCCTTTTTCTTTTTCTAACATCATGATTGATTCCAACCTTTCAATTCTTCTTTGATGGATTGTTGTCGGAGATGATGACGGCACTGAGGATGTAGAATACAGCCTTATTAACTTGCAAGGGCTGTAATGGCAATGGTAGGGGAGGCTTACGAAATCCAACCGACATACTCTGATCTGATGATCTTTCATCATCTACCCTATTCACATTTCCTCCAGAAACACCAGAAGCATTCATCATCTTACCTCCAGATGGTGGCAAAGCACTCAAATTCGCCACCATTGGTGGTGGAGCATCAACAGCAACAACATAACTAGGAAGTCTTGTTACCACCCTGCATCAATCTTGCCTCATTTTCGCCCATTCGAACCTGAATCGAAGGCAAATTCGACAAGAAAGGCGACGAAGTAGACGATCCGTACGACGAAATACTGTTCTCAACAAATAGGAAGTCTTGATTGATCGAATGAACATCGTGGACAACCACATTATCAACATTTTTCATCACAACGTTGTTGCCCTGTTTGTTGTTGTCTCCGAAGAAGTCTCCTTGCGCCTCCAAATCATTGCAAGAATTCTCACTCCTCGTTAGTAAGCAATCCATGGTGGCAGAATCTGACAAGTTCTTTGGAAGACCTGACCCGTTCAGTGCGTCGACGAACCAAGACTTCGGACAACTTTACATCGTCGAGCAGAACACCCATCGACGCGGCAGTTTCAGGTTTCATGAAGAAGAGGAACAGTCAGAGGCGGAAGGGTTTGTGGGGGGAGGCGGAGGCAGTGCGGTTGTATTCTTCGACCATGTTGTCGAGATCTTCATCGGTGGTGATGGAGGCAAGCTTAAAACTGGGAGAAGATGCACCATCTTTTGCACACCGAAGTAAGGCGGAAGAAGACAGATGTTGGTAGTCTCGACAGCACCATTTCGAGGAAGTCTTAACCCATCCCCGCCATGCCCCTCCACAATGTTAACACTAGTAGACAGTGCGCCTCCTGTCTAACTCCCCAACTCCGTCGTTTCGACCTTCGTCCCTGCCGCTGCTTCCGCAGCATGACTGGGCGTCGTCCATTAGTACGACGGCGTTGGCGTCGCTCTGCCGGCTGTCGTCATCCTTGGCCTGGTGAGCCAGGACCTGCTCGAGGTTGATGCGGAGGGCATTGGTGGTGGCTTCGTTAGTCTGAGCCAGGTTATGCCATACTTGGTTTTCTACGCACAATGACTTGACCAGCGCCCAATTCAGCTTCCTTATTTTTTCAATCTCTTCCTTTTTATCCCTCAGCCGCTTCGCCATCCCGACCTCAATCGCCTCCATTATCCACCGCGCATGCCGCTTCCTCTTTTCTTCGACTTCCAATCTCACATTCTCCATGTGTTGGGAAATGAGATGGTCGACGTCGAACTGTTGCTGCTGCACGTGCAGAGAGATGTCTTCGCCGAGAAAAGAGAAAGGGCCGTAGTTTTTGTAGTTGGTTAACGGCGGAGTCGGGTACGAAGAACAAAGGGATAAAGTTTTCCTCACGAGGGACATTCTGGAAGGAATTTGAGGGCGGAAGAGAATGCCTCGAATTCAAGGTCAGCATAAATGGTGGTTTCCGACAAATATAAGGGAAGAGATTGAGATGCCGGGCTTCAACAACCATGATTTTAATGGTAAAAAAAGGAAGCAAGAGAAAGCAGAGGAAATAGAGGAAACGTTTTCTTTGGGTTTGCAAATTGGTTTCTGTATGCGACTGACTGAGAGAGGAGAGAGAGATGGGACTGGTTTCTTGGGTTTTTGTGATTTTGCAGATTCACGGTGGAGGTGAAAAAATGAAAGAGAACTGACATAGTTTTTTGTGTCGATTCCTACAGACCGCGCCAAATGTTGATGCACAAAACCGAAGGGGTCTTGGAACAACGTAAATTCGACCGTGAATCTGCAAGAAAAAGAACACAAAATGTATCGTGGTTCACCCCAATGTTTGGGCTACGTCCACACTGATATTGTATTTCTCTGAGAGAATTGTGAGGGAGAAAGCCTCTGTAATGTGAGAGTGAGGCTTTGGGGATCTCAGGCCTAAGAATTGGCCTCCTTTAATGAGGAGAGTGAGGAGTCCTTTTATAGAATAAGGGCTCCTCACTTATTACATATTTGCCCCTTCATTTATTACATAATTACATTTGAGTCCCCTGAGTATTTATAAGAGATCTAAATACGAAGGCCCTAAGTATGGTACAAACAGTAGTACCCTAAGTCTTCAGTCAAGAGAGTCTTTTGGCTGGAGACTTGAAATTTAGTCCATGCGTGGGCCGAAGTAACTAGATGTCATCTAGAACTGATACTCGATATGAGGTGATGCTCAATGTGAAATGATGCTCAACTAGAAGTAGCACATGTTGCGAGGCTGCTCGACTTGTAGCTTGTGTTGCCTTGGTTGGCTCGGCTTGTGACGTTGAAGGTGAGGGAGTTCCTTTTATAGAATAAGGGCTTGCTCCTCAATACATAAATGATGGGCTAAGCGTCTCTCTAATAAAAATGAGGGAGTCCCTTTTATAAAATAAGGGTTCGTTTTTCAATACATGAATAATGTGCGCTCATAAAAGTGAGGGAGTCCCTTTTATAGAATAAGGGCTCGCTCTTCAATACATGAATGATGTGTTAGGAGTGATGCTCGCGGCGAGGCGGTTGCTCAGCTGGCAATGATGCTCTCTAAAGAAATTGCGGTGGTGATGGCATGCAGAAAAAAGAATTATGGGCGTGACCCATTGAGCAGAGGGTCAGATTTATTTTTGAATGATGGAATTTATTTTTCTTATCTTTCGAAAACATCTGTATAAACCTCATCAGAGGGTAATCACAAAAAAAAAAAAAACGGCAAGCCCAAAATAATGGGCTGGAATGTTTTATGGAGGGCGAAGGTCCATATGCCCAAAAGAGCCAGGCCCTCTATTATCACCAACCAGGTGATCAAAAGTACGTCCAGTACTCCAAATTTATTCGGCATCCTGCCGCTATTATCACCAACCAGGTGATCAAAAGTACGCTCAGTACTCCAAATTTATTCGGCACCCTGCCGCTATTATCACCAACTAGGTGATCAAAAGTACACCAGTACTCCAAAATTATTCGACACCCTGCCACTATTATCACCAACCAGGTGATCAAAAGTACGCCCAGTACTCCAAAATTATTCGGCACCCTGCCGCTATTATCACCAACCAGGTGATCAAAAGTACGCCCAGTACACCACAAAATTTATTCGGCACCCTGCTGCTATTATCACCAACTAGGTGATCAAAAGTACGCCCAGTACTCCGAAAATTATACATGAGCATCACTCATGTCAATCATACATAAACATTCGTGAGCATCAGTCATGTCAATCATACATAAACATTCATGAGCATCACTCATGTCAACATTCATGAGCATCATTCATATAAACATTCATGAGCATCACTCATGTCAATCAGCTTTGAAAGCTTCATTTACAGAGCTCTAGCTTTGAGAGCTTCAACTTCAAAAGCTTCATTTACAAAAGCTTCAGCTTCAAAGCTTCACTTGCAAAGCTTCACCTACAAAGCTTCAGTGCAGGGTATACAAATACCGCCTCCGAACAACCGTCACTTTGGCCCATACATGGATTAAATTTGAAGTCTTCAGCCAACAGGCTCTATGGACTGAAGACTTGGGAGACTACATTATGTACCATATATTGGGCCTCAACTGGGCCTCATAAAAAATACTTGGGGGACTTAGCCCATCACTTATGTATTGAGGAGTGGGCCTTTATTCTATAAAAGGGACTCCCTCACTTTGATTAGAGAGCGCCCATTATTCATGTACTGAGGAGTGAGCCATTATTTTATAAAAGGGACTCCCTCACCTTCAATAGAGCATCGCCACCAGCTAAGCAACCGCGTTGCCGCAAGCATCAACTCTAACCCATCACTTATGTATTAAGGAGCGAACCCTTATTCTATAAAAGGGACTCCCTCACCATCATTAGAGAGCATCGCCGCCTGCTGAGCAATCGCCTCACTACGAGCATCGACTCTAGCCCATCACTTATGTATTGAGGGGCGAACCCTTATTCTATAAAAGGGACTCCCTCACCTTCAACGCCACAAGCCGAGCCAACTAAGGCAACATAAGCCACAAACCAACCAGTCTCACAACATGTGCTACTTTTGGTTAAGCATCATTTCAGATTGGGCACCGTCTCATATCGAGTATTAGTTTTAGACGACATCTAGTTACTTCGGCCCACACATGGACTGAATTTCAAGTCTCCAGCCAAAAGACTCTCTTGACTGAAGACTTGGGGGACTACTGTTTGTACCATATTTAGGGCATCCGTATTTAGACCTCGTATAAATATTCAAGGGACTCAAATGTAATTATGTAATAAAGGAGGGGCAAATATGTAATAAGTAAGGAGCCTTTATTCTATAAAAGGGCCTCCTCACCCTCACAATAGGGAGGGCTCACTCTCATATTCAAAGCTCTCATCCTCACAATCCTCTCACAAACAGAGAAATACAGTATTAGTGTGGACGTAGCCCAAACATTGGGGTGAACCACGATACATCTTGTGTTATTTACTTTCTTGCTGATTCACGGTCGGATTTACGTTGTTCCAAGACCTCCAGTTTTGTGCATCAATAGAATTAGAAAACATTGTCTATATGCCTTCCATGAGAAGGAAGCTGATTCCGTTTCAAAGTTAGTTTTGTTGAGTTTTTATTTTACTATAAATAATATTGGCTTCAACATATTTTACAAATCCTCCCAAGTTGGTACTATTTTTTATTTTATTTTTATGATGGCATGTTTCAAATAAAAACTCAACAAAGTCAAATTTATTTTGAACATTCAAAATGAACATACTAAGACTCAACAATCATCAAACTTAAAGCAAAAGAGGCTGTCATATTTCAAAACAAAGGATAGAGTTACTTGTCAAAAATAATATTTTGCCTCCATTAAATTTTTAATGGTTTTGAGTTCTGTGTGGATTATGCTAAAGGAAAAATGACAAGTAGTAGAAAGAAAGTCTCAACAAGAAGCAAAGAAACTTCATAAATCATCCACACAGACTTCTGTGGTCTTTTTCCCATGCAAACTATAGAGGAACATAAATATTTCGTAACCTAATTTCAGAAAAATCAAATGCACTTGAAACTTTTAAGATTTACAAAAGTGAGGTTGAAAAACAATTGGAAAAGAAAATTAAAGTGGTTAGGTTTGATTAGGGAGGTGAATACCATTGTAGATACACACAAATTGGCAAACACCTTAGTACCTTTGCCCTTTTTTCTACAAGAAAATGGAATGGTAGCTCAATACCCTACACTTCGAAACCCCAGGCCAAACAAAGTGGCTGAGAGAAGAAATAGACGTCTTAGGAACATGGTAAGGAGTGTGATTTGTAGGACTAATCTACCAAGTTGTTGATGGAGTTAGAGATGGACGATTATGCAAGCACAAGAACTGACAATTTTATATTTGAGGAAGATAGTGAAATGGGGTAATGTAGAAAACAATCAGAATGTGTTAAAGGAAATAAAATAGTCAATTATCTGATATGATTTGGAGTGATTGTAGGAAAGGATTGTAATAGCATAGAATTAGTTCCAGTTTACCTAGAACAACATCACAATTCTTGTATAAATTCATACCTCTACATAGCTTTAGTTATGCAATACAAAATACTTCACATAACAATTTGATATAGCATCAGAGCACTGATCTTGGTGACTCTAAAAGCCCATTCCACTTCCGCTACAAACGCAACCCAAATTCTTTCTATTAAACACACTAACATGAGTGACAAAAATCAATAGAGGCGATGCCACATGCATTCGATCCAATCATCTTACACCACTCAGATTCACCAAGTCTTGTTTTAGTCTCACAACTTCTTGATGGACACAACTATGGACAGCGGAGCCACTCTATGCGCATCGTTCTTAGCGCCAAGAACAAACTTGGGTTTATTGATGGATCAATCAAGAGCCCTGCAATCTCTAATGCCAAGTATTCAATTTGGTAGAGATGCAACGACATGGTATTGTTATGGATTTGGCAATCTATGCAAGGCAAAAGCGTTCGCAGTATACTCTACTACAAATCCACATTAGCATCATGGAAGGATTTTGAGGATTGATTCTCGCAAGGGAACAATTCAAGGATCTATCAAATTTGACAAGAAATTGTCGGACACCGACAAGGACAACTATTCGTTTCAGATTATTACACAAAGTTGAAGGCTCTTTGGGACGAATTAGCATCATACCATGAGCCAATTGCTTGTGAATGCGAGGGATCTAAGATACGTGCAGAAAGGGAGGAAAAAGAGAAGGTCATCCAGTTTTTAATGGGTTTGAACAAGAGTTACTCAACCATATGAGGTTCCATCTTGACAATGAGTCCACTCCCAAATACATGACGAGTTTATGGGTTGGTTCTACAACACGAACGCTAAATAGATGTGGCAAATTACCGTGAACCTGCTACCTACACAATGCAACCAAGTCGTTCACAAT